CATCTACCTTAACTTCAATGTATTTACTACAAGCATTTCCGACTTAACATTAATAATGTAAAATGCAGGAAAAAGGGAAATATTTACAAAATCAAAGGAACACAAAATAGGAAAGTGTTATTATTCAACCTACCGTTTCTTCTGAGCTATCTTTGAATATATCATTTATCATTTCTGTTTCATTAATCATTTCTGTTTCGTCCGCTAAGGCCATGTACTCAAAACCCTGTTCACAAAATAAAGGAAGAAAACAAACGATTAGTTTTCAGCATCTTAATTTCGCGGATAAACCAAAATGACAATGTGACATGAACAAATGCTGATTTCCAAGAAACATTTGTAGTTGTGTGCAGAAAAAATCTTGCATTGGGACACTGCATCATATTTTTAAATTAAATCAAAACACAGAGACTACTAGGATTCGGCAAAGCAGGAAGATCTATGTAAAAGTACATACGTGTTGGCAAAGAAAAACAAATTCAATTCCTTTTTGCATGTTTGCAGGGGGGGGGGGGGGATCCACTTACAAATATATGGCAATATGGCTCGTTATCAGGATAAAATGTATTCAAACGTAATCACTTTTGTTTTTTACAAACATTGTGTCAGATTATATTTCATTGTTAATTCTTTTTAATGCAACACTTGTCACTTTCACTAATGACTTACATAATTAATATAATGAATTATCTATGTTTTCCAATACATGTTTATGTCCTTTTGTGATTCACTTTATAAGATCAGTTTTGAAAAGCATAACAATTTGTAAAATTTATTTATGAAAACCAGCTCTGTAGGCTTTAACATTAGAAATATCAAAGCAATTTTATATACAGTACAAACTCTGAAAGCTGGAACGTCTAAAAACCAGATTCCTGAAAACCAGAGAATTTCAAAAGTCCCATAATACTTGCTTTTTTAGTTCATCGATAAATAGCCTCTCTGAAGTACGAAAACCGGACAATTTCCTAAGGCTATTAGTGCTAAACTTGCATGAAAAATCCCCTGAAAACCAGGCAAAAAAAAAGGACAGCAATTAAGTGTCAACTTTCTGTGTATTTAAGTGTGGATTAAAAATAATTCCCAACACGTGACATGTTCACGGTCACCTGCTTTATCTATGCAGGTGTAAAAAAACACTGGTCAATGTATGACCGGTGTGTTTATTTTTTACGACAACTTAATATTAGCTTTTTCATCAGAATTGGGTCTTTCACTTTTTAGGTATGATTTTTTTCTAAATATTATACAAAATGTATAACAAACACTTTTTATCAAGAAATGTACAAAAGAGTTGTTCACAAAGGGGTGGGGGTAATTTTGTAAAAATATTACCCAAGAGTTAAGGTCACTTATACTTAATTACAGGGTAATAAAAGAATACGAAGGCGAATACGAGAATTATAAAGTAAGCGTCACAGAGAAATAACAGAAGAAGAAATAGTTTATTTCGGTAACTTATACATTTACAGTATCTCGTTACATACAATAATTACAAATATAATAATTCTGTGGTCACATGACAAAAGCAAAGAAAAAAAATAAGAAGAAGAATGTAAAAGTTTTAACTGATGACATTCTAACGGAGAACAGACAGCTGTTAATAAAGGAACAAAGAACATCACAATATCATTATCATTCATAGAAATAAAAAGTTCCAGTAGGAAGAAGAAAAAACACAATATTCGTACAAATGTAGTTAAACTAGAAATGTGTCAATAGGACACGGGTGCCCCCACACTCCACTGTTTTTCTAGGTCAAATATTTTTTGGCTACATGTGCCCCAAGTTGAAAACTAAAAATCTTTTACTGATACTGAATAAATCCACAAGCAAACCCCCAGGTGCATAAGTTCATATGCTGACCAACATTCTTGTAAACCTTCAGGCTTACAGGTCAGATGCTTTTTGAGCTATGCATGAACAAGTTAAAATTTGCAAATTTATCTTAAGTCTAGGGCAATAACTCTAACAAAACTGAAAAAATCCACATGCAAAATCCTAGATGCATAGCTTCACAGTGATGTTGATCATTATTCCGGTAAAAGTGTTTGATTCTTACTCAAGCAGTCAAGGAACACAAAACACAACATAATGGAACGGTTTTTACTATGACAAGGGCAATAACTCCAGAAATACTGGATAAATTGACAAAAGAGACGGAAGGTGTACAACTACACATGCTGACCAACGTTCCTCTTAAGTTTCATGACTCTATGTTTATGTTAAAAGTAATTTTGAGTTACGTGAGACACAAGTTTTAAATTGCAAATTTAAACTAAGTCAAGAGCGATTACTCTGACAAAACAGACTAAATCCTCAAGCGAAACCACAGGTGCACAACTTCACATGCTGATCTACATTCCTGTAAAGTTTCACGACCCTAGGTCAAATACTTTTTGAGCTACATGCGACACAAGTTGAAAATTGCAAATGTTAACTTGGTCAAGGGCAATAACTCTACATATACAAAATAAATCCACATCAAGATACCCAGGTGCACAACTACAAATTGAAAATTGCAAATTTTTACTACGTGAAGGACAATAAACAAAATAAATTCACAAGCAAAACCACAGATGTTATTTTTTATTCAAGTTTTTTTTTAAGTTTAATGTAACTCTACTTTATTTACATCTTCTTCATCATCTGATTCGAAGGATGACCTACTGTTTTTACGCGCTGTGTCCTGTGATTGCCCTGCCTTAACAGTAAACGGACTTTGTCGTCGTGTTAAGTTTGCCAGCCCTCTCCGCAATTATTTCCGACGGCTTTACAACATTCAAAGAAACCCGTAAAAATGTATATGCAAGTTTACAATGCAGCTTTTTAATGTTAATAGATATGAAAGTTTACTTTACTGATTTTTTAAAGTATTTCTACTGTGAAGTGAATATCTTTAATCGCTTTTCAGGTGGATAAAGTCAGGTGCAATTACTAAGGTAATACCAGTCCAATGTAAAACTAAATCATGAAATTAACCTTTTCTACTTCATTTTCATTATAATCTTCCTCCCCTGTCAAATCCCCTTCATTTATTTTCTCTAGTATCTGTTAATATTTGGGAAGCGTTTCAAGACCTTTAAGAGAGTTACGATCAACATTACTCGACAAAATATGCTGATTACATAAATCTTTTATAACCAAAATGATAAATTAATGATAACAACAGAACGAAATTATTTTGCAGTTTCATTACTTAATCAAAACACATTTTCGATACTCATTCAGAAAATAAGTGACATTCATAAAGATGGAAAATGTTTCAATACCTAAATCAAATATTTCAGTTTTCCCAAACGATAGAATGCCAATGTTAATTGTACTAAATTTATACGAAAAACGAATTTTAAGAAATAGTGCAAGAATATTGTTACCCTGGAACATACTTCTGAAGAAGCGGATACTTTCTAATATATAAGATAGATTCATCAACACGAACTAGAAATGTTGTGTATGGTGTTTTATTGGAAGCTAAATGGAAGTTTCTTTATTGATTTACACATCGATATATCCAATGAAATGCTCTGGTTATTATAATAGGAGTATTTAACATAGGGCTTTGGAAAGCTTGGTGATATTAAATGTTCCCAACTAAAATTTCAGAATATTCTAAACATTTTTTGTGTAAAGAGAGTCTGATTTAAAAAGCAAAATGTGCACCAAATGTAAAATTGATTCCATTTACTCTGCTTGTTATGAATTAATTCTTAAAAATGTCTAAAACATGAACAACAACGCCGAAGACAATATATTAAAATTGTCAAACATTAGAAATTTTAAAATCAATCACACATATCTTTTTTATGTCATATGCAATCTTATTTTACAACACGTGATAGGTCTCATCATAAAGAAGTGTTAAAATGGCGGAGAAAGAAATTGACTGTATGGTATGGTTGGAATTTGATACGTTCGTTCACATAGAAAATAATATGCATTTTGTTGTATATTTTGCCCAAGCATATTCCCCGATCTATGATAGGTACGATGAAGTTATTTATACGCACATTGAAAAAGGATATAAATATATTCACTTACACAGAAACTCTAATTCGTGCATTGGCCAGAAAAGTAATTATATTACATATGATAGACATAAAGGACAAAATGACATTTATATGGGTCACCCATATTTGCCATGGTCTTCTTGTAATTTTGGTTTAAATCGCTTTGGCAATCGTCTGCTTGACCTTTGTAAATCAACTTGTTTTCGGGGTGTTAATGATTGTATAGAGGTAGAGGCATAGGCAAATTCGCTTCCACGACACCTAACAGGGATTTCTAGTAACGTCACATTTTAACTTTCAAGATACAGCCGATTTCTCTGTGTATTATTTCAATTATTTCTAATCATGCCCCGTTGTCATTTTCATTCAAAGTTAACTCGATTCCATATACGATAAAAAAGGAGTCCACGATTTTTATATAAATAGGAACCATATCGAAGGGATGTACCCATAAACTAGAAGGTGTTTTTGTCAAAAAACAAGGGATAGTACTAATCACTCCTGTGAATTTTCGGAAAATCCCACCGGCAGTTTGACCTTTGAAAGCCAGACACGATTGTTCTATTTTTAGCTCTGACTGCCAATTTTTGCAGCATAACGGATATTGTCGGCGATATGCACAACTAGGAATAGTACTGATCATTCCTGTAAAGTTTCATCGAAATCCAGCCAGCAGTTTGACCTGTGAAAGACGGACACGATATTTCTATTTTTATCTTTGTCGACAATTTTGTCTAGCAAGAGGCCATATGCACAACTAGGGATGGTATTGATCACTCCTGTAAAGTTTAATTGACATCCCACTAGCAGTTTGACCTGTGGAAACCGGACAATATTTTTTCTTTTTTTAGCTCCAGTGGTCATTTTGTGCAGCGGAGTGGATCGTGCAGGCCATGTGGGCAATTAAGGAAGGTACTAATTATTTCTGGGAGGTTTTATTGAAATCCAACCAGCAGTTTGATGTGTGAAGGACGGACACAATTTTTCTAATTACAGCTCTGGTGGCTATTTTGTGCAGCGTAACGGAACTTGTGGGTGATATACACAACTAAGGATGGTACTGATTACTCCTGTGAAGTTTCATTGAAATCCCGCCAGCAGTGAAAATGTGAGAAGTCTGACAAGATTTTACTTTTTATAGCTCTGGCGGCCATTTTGTGTAGTGAAGCAGAGTGTGCCGCCATATTAACATCTAGGGATGGTACTGATCTCATCT